ACTTATGATGGCAACTTGTCCGTTCTAAAAGCTGATTTAGCACAAGGCTCTCAAATCACAGATGAGGGTGGATGCAAGTCACACCATACAATTAATGATTTAGATCAGGTCACACTAACTCCATACAATTAATGATACAATTAATGATTTAGATCAGGTCACACTAACTCCAATCAAATTCAACTATTCATTTCAAAGTAAAATAATAGATATATATATATATATATATATATATGTACGTCTGTCTGTATACATGGAATGAAAGTCTTAATTCAAACCGTGTAAATATAGTCCAATCTAAACTATTGAATTTCTCGAATTCCACTCGAAAGAAAAAAGACTTGTGGCATTGCATTTTGAACCTTAATTGATAACAAATTTATATGTTAACCTGGCCAAACCCCATTAACGTTAATTGCAAATGTTTTTCACCTGCATTGAGATAATCGATCATTTGCAAGTGCGCATTACGAAATTGGATAGAATTTACATCAAAACACTCTCATGCAACTATTAGCACTTTAGAATAGTTCAACGTTCGCTATATTGAAATCACACATTATGACACTCCCAAGTAAGTATATTTTGCCAAGCTTTCCCTTGGTTGATTCATGGATGTTACACGAAAGTCAATGTCTTCAATTAGCGAGTAGCAATTAAAAGAAGGGGCACACGTCATTAATTTAGCTCTATTCCACCATTCAAGTTTGAGCTATGTGGATAAGATAAGGATTACACCATATGTCAAACCCATATGCATGCTGTGGACTTGCGAAGCATAAACATGGTGTCGATCGGTTTCTAATTTAACGCATTATAACTCGGATAGATTTTGACCCTCACAAAAGCATTAAATGCAGGTCCACGATCGTGATTTTAGAGGATTATATTATAGTTTTGCACGTCCTATTTTCTTCTGGCCCAAGGTTGGTGTATAGTTGTTGCGCGTATAGATGGACTCGTTCTTGAATGAAGGCACCAGCGTTTATCATAACAGAGAAAAATAATTAATGGTCTTTGATTTTGAGTAATGACTTGGTGGGGCTTTCAGGGTTGTATGGTCGGATCCGAAGTAGATTATTTGACTAATTTGGCGCCCACCTGATCAGAACGTACTGTGGGAAAGAGTAAAATAGAAATTTTCTCTCTCCTTTAAGTGTTAAATTTGATTAATCCGGTCAAGACCTTAATCATTCTGAAATTCATCCGTACATGTCTTCTTCGAGCCAGAAGATACTAAGATGAAACTCATTTTGGTACAGAAAACGTGCCAGCCAAATGCCAGTTTGCTCCAGTTTGTTAATTCCGATCATCATCACGGGTCAGGATATGTTCACGAGATCGCTTATAAGAGTTCATACAAATCATCTACTAATATAAATTTCACATCAACAACAGAATTCAAATCCACTATATTTTGTGAAGAAGCAACTCATTCTTGCTAAATGAATCAATTTCTGTTGGCCAGGAGACCAACTTAGTTGCTAAAATGTTAATTAGATATTGTTTCTTTCATTTAAGCCTTCTCTTTTCTCCTCCTCCTTTCTTAGAAGGCTTAGATTCTCCTTTAAAAAAAAAAATAGTACATGAAATTTAGTTGTCATATATGTTACTTGTCCAAAATATGAGCTATAAAATATTCAATCTCTAGCATTAAGAAGACTGATCCAGTTATTGAGTTTGGCTTTTTCATAAGAGAGCTCGTATTGAATCAGTAATTAATAGATACAAGTTTAAATTGAAAATTACTGGTATTTATGGATAGGATACGTATTCTTGCATGCGATATTCATTGTAAATTAATCCATGAATAATCGTGTTATTGCAAATACCAGTTCAGAAGAATCAATCATCCGATGTATTTATATGATGAGTACTTTCTGAATAATGCAGTTGTATAGGTAATTCATCCATGCAATGACAGTTCTACATAAGCGTGGGTTATTCACGCACGTTTTATTGAAATTTTCGACCAAAATTACTTGAAGCTGAAGTTTCCTTACGGGAGCCTTTGTTGATTTCCAAACATTTTCGACCAACCACGAGTAGAGGTTCTGGTTAACATCGGCGGACTCTACAGAAATCAAATTTGTCTTCTCTTTATCTTTACAGAAAATACGATGGGAACAGAGGCTGCTTCCACATTGCCAGCCATTCTCCGCGACGACGAAGAGGTTTTCCAGCAGCTTAGCACGAAGCATCCACCCGACGGCCGGTTCCACATTTCAATTTCCAATAGAAATACGTGTTTTTTTTTTTTTAAGAGACGTTATTTATGCTTTATTCTTATATGATGTCTGAGGTGTGAATCTTTTATTTTTTTTTTAAATCTATTTTGTGTTATTCTTAATTGCTTTTGATATTTTGATTTTTAAAAATCTACTTTTAATTTTTTTTTTTTCCGATAACGTGCTTAATTACCTTTAGAAATCAGCTACTTAGGTAAGCCAAGGTTATCAAGTACTGTAGTATGAAACCGCGGAAGGGAACGGTCCTGATGCATGTGTTTGAACTTCAAGAACTGATTTTTTCTATTACTGTTTCCTTCACCAACCAAATCTATAGCAAATGTATTTGTGTGTGTCAGTGTCTGAACAATGCTTTCATGTTTTTCTTAATGGGTTTTTCCTCATTGTTTCTGGGGCAATCCGAACTCAAAAGGATCTAGCAAAGAAATTAGAAACATTCCAAGCAAAGAAATTATTTGGTTGTAGACCTGTACGTATTACCGCCGTTCTTTTGAGTATAATATCCTTCTATAACAAAGTTTGAGCTCCGGCCAAGCACCAAGAAGTTACACTAATTTTTGGGATACACTGAGATTTCTGGTTATTTTATTTAGTTCTCTTGAAGTTTCAAAAACTACGAGTTGGCTGCCCAATTTTTTTTATTTGAATCAATTCACTTTCTTGATTATCCTTTTTTCGATTCTTTTAATTAGAAACGTCCTTATTGGTCATCTTGGGTGCATTTGATAAAATTGATATTTGAAATTTGAATCCAGTAAATTATTGAATTATTAAGTACTAAATTTAATACATTTGACTGCACATCACATTATGTGATAAATGAATAATAACTTATCACTTATTTTTAGAGCAAATTTTGCCTAGAAAATTCAATACGACTTAATTAATTCAGATGTTCAATTTTTAGTTATCAAACGCATCTGAACATATTAAGATCTGAATCCATTAAATTTAAGTGCTGAATGAAATTATCAAACAGGACTTAGTGTTGAAGAATTAGAAGTATAAGCATGATAATTCAGTGACATACTATTTCAGTCATTTTTCAAAGATTTGCCTCTTTAAATAGGAAATATTTTGTGACAACCACCCTCTTGGACATGTAGAAACCACCATAATCTCCTCCTTCGCCTCCCCCACCCCAACCCAAAAAAAAAAACTCCAAAAAAAAAAATAAATAAAGCTACATGTAAAGGTAGAAGACTCCAGACCCCAACCCAAAAGTTATTTCCAGAAAAGGGCACGCACTCTCAGTGCAGAAATGATAAGAAACCCAAAGTCACATGAAATTAAGACGATGAGGTGTTATGTCCCTCAGTGTCCATCATGTTACAATCACAAATATTCCTCCTTTTCCGTAAATTTAATTAGTTATTAGTTGTTAAAACCCCATGCCAAATATTGGAAACAAAAAAAGGAAAATTTATTCTTCCAGACAATTTAAAGCATGCTGAAACATAAATGGTACTAACATAGCTTGATTATGATTATCCAAACAAAGAAAAGAAGAAAAATGGACCGCAAAAAGTACGGATTAAACGCGGATTTCCCCTAAAATACTCGAAGATTCTCTTGTCGCAAATTGACTCTCATTTTCTCTCTTGTGGAAACAAGGAGAGAAAAAGTCACGTCCATGCGCACATTCAAGACCCAACCCTGCAACATTGGATGCACGTTTGATAATATCATTATTATATCTCTTAATATCTTACGGAATCTGAATACTCTTCTGGTTAAGAAGCAGTAAACTGTTGAATGTTCTCCCTTTTTGGTATTTGTTTTTTTTTTGCCACTTGTTTATGTCCTGCATTTGTTTCTTGTTGATTAAGGAAATCTTGGTTTTGTTTTCAAACCCCAGGTGGATGACCTTGTATAGTAACCTTAAAGTGATCACCTGAATATTGTAGATAACGACTACCACCATTACAATAATTGGTTTCCTGTCCCTGAAGAAGAAAACTAATACAAAAGCTGCCTTTTGCCGTTCATGGCATCAGGGGCCTGGTGCGGCGTGGCACCCTTCCTTTTCCGTAAAAAGCTTCCAGGATTTGAGGTGTGTTTCTTTATGCCTAAGCTAATTCTTGTTTACGCATTCTCCTTTTCAGCCTCTTTTTCTTTTTCATGCATGCGGAGGTTTGCGGTTGGTTTTCGTCATGTTTAATTCCATTGGGGCTTTCTCATGGTTAACCATCATCTGTCAACGATATATCTGCAAATGACATTCTGGGTTCATGATTAGCTGTTGATTGTGATATATCATCTTTAGGTGCATAGCATATCAATTTCTGGTCAGATCTCATCTTTCAGTGATAATTGGTTATGAGACATCTCCACACATAATTAGTTTCCAACTAAGCAATTCACGATAACTAGCTGTATGGCATCTTCTTCTTCTTCTTTTTTGGGTGTAGCAATCCCATTATTGTGAGACAAATTAGAATATCATGCCTGAATTATGTTTTGATCACGTTGAACTCCAATCTTCTTCTCTTTTGAAAGTACTTTAGTCTGTCTAATGCAATTTCTTGAGCAAACTCTTAAGTTTATCAACTCAACAAAAGGTTTATGGCCGTGAAAGTTGACGTGGTGCAAAAAAGAATGCAGCCCTGGTTACTTCCAAATTTTCAAATATAGACATAAACCATGCTAAACAAATTATAAAGCAACAATAGATTATGAGAAATTGCGAAGAAAATATGTTTTGAGGTTTACTTTATTTGGCACGAAATTTGATAACGTTTCAATGATCTTAGTCATATGAAGTAAACAACAATAAGAAGGCAGATCTGCAAAATGGAGGAAAGTAACAAGTATATGCCTGGAATGTTTACAGGGTAAAGAACAAGCAAGTAAAAGCTCTAAAGCATCAAAAAATCAAAAACAAATGAAGAATACTGCAGTTGTCAAGTCACGCGGGGTTGCAGGGAACTTTGTAAAGATGACAGATATTCGGACGAAGGTTCTGACCTTCAGGGACTTGCTTGACTTATCTCCCTGCATTGGCTCTGCTTCTGTGAATGAGGTAATCTTTGATTACGGGTTTCGTAATTGTCTTTCTTCATAGAGCTCCAGGTGTCCATGACAAGATCAGCGTTTGCAAGTTGACTTCTGAATTCTTCTCATGTCTCCTGATTTTCTCTGCAGCTACTGATATGGACACTGCAGGATCTCCATAGACTATATCCTTCCCTTAAACCAAGCATTCCAGTATCAGAAATCGAAAGAGCATCAACAGATCAGGTCATCTTTCTGCTCGTTTTTGTGGGGTGTTTTTGCTACCTTATCAATCACAAATTCTGGATTCAAATGGTTCACTTGGCAGACGTTTAGTGTACAATAGAAAATTAAGATTACCTAATGAAACAGGTACTACGCTGCTTCTGCGATTTCCTGAAATCACTTGGAGACTCGTGGATTAACAATGGTGAATGGATGGTTAAATGCAAGTATGATGCCTCTATTAAGCTGAACCAAAATGATCTGGAAGATATTGGTATGTTGTACATAAGATATATTTGGGAAATATTTCTTACCTGATCAGCATTGACAACAATTTGCATTTGCTGGAATTGAAACAGCACAGTCCATGCTTGAAGACATGAACAAGCTAGCAAGAGAAAGGATGTTTGATATGATGGATGAGGATGAGCAGATGAATGGATATAGTCCCTCCGAGACTGCATTTGGGAAAGCCTTGTCAGAGTCCTATTCAGACAGTAAAAATTCCCTTTCCAGTTCTCCAGCTACTCCAACTTCAGTCCTTCAAGATATGACCAATATGTTATCCAAGGGCACAAAGCAATCCTATACTCCACCTCTTCTGCTTCAACTTAGAGTTCAAGCAGTTGAAAAACTGAACCCCATAGATATAAAGCGCCTGTCATTCCACATGCTTCCTCATGCAGCAGCTCCAGATCCTAATTACCCACTCCAGAAATGTGAAACATTTGAGGGACGACGGCTGGAGCTGGAAGCAAAACATGAATCTGTATCAAAAGCAGCAGGCACCAATGAGGTTAACCAAGATTTTGAAATGGAAGAGGACACTTTCGACGTAGTAATGACCAATTCAGATGAGTCGGCAATTGAAGCTGGAAAAACTAGGACTACTAATGAAAATTTGGTAACTGGGCCAGTCCCTTGCACCCCAGCAAAAGGAGATATTGATGTGGTTCCACCACCTACTTCACTCCCTAAACTGAGATCAAATGTCTCTGAAAAGGAAAATACTCCACAAATTCCAGTAGAATACAAATTACCCCTAGATAAAATAGCCTCACAAGGATCAGCAGCACCACCACCCCCACCTCCTCCTCCACCACAGATGTTTCCCAAAAATGAAGTACTATTGGCACGACAATGTCAAACTCAATTATTGGAAACAACATGTCCAACACCACCACCACCTCCACCTATACCGTCGCCAATTGCTGAGGGAAGCATAGCCATCACACCACCTCCACCACCACCTCCACCTCTACCACCAGTGACTTCAATGAGCACAACTTTCTTTCCTCCTCCTCCTCCTCCTCCTCCACCTCCATCAACTTCCAACATACCGGGAAGTATAGCACCACCTCCTCCACCTTCATCTATGGCATCAGGAAATTTCACATTTCATCCACCACCACCCCCTCCACCCATGGGATCAGGAAAAATAGCTCCACCACCTCCACCTCCTCCTATGGGAGCATCCAATGGAGGAGTGCCAGCACCGCCACCCCCCATGCAGCCAGGAATGCGAGGTCCTCCACCTCCTCCTCCAGGGCTTGGAGGTGCCAAAGACCCGCGTCTCAGGAAAGCAGCAACCAAATTGAAGAGGTCATCCCAAATGGGAAATCTGTATCGGCTTCTCAAATTAAAGGTGGAAGGTGGGTCTAACTTAGATGCAAAATCATCAAGGAAAGGTAAAATTTCTTCCACAAGTGGAGGACAACAGGGAATGGCTGATGCACTTGCAGAAATGACAAAGAGGTAAGGCCACAGCAATTTCCAATCCAAAGGTGTAAGGAGGTCAAGATACCTTCCTCCCAATGAATGGAACATGAGTAATGATTTATGGTTTGGCTACATCTCAGGTCAGCATACTTCCAACAGATTGAAGAGGATTTCAAAAATCATGAAAAGTCTATCAGGGAGTTGAAAGTTTCCATCAACTCTTTCCAGTGTTCGGACATGACTGAACTCCATAAGTTCCACAAGCATGTGGAGTCCATCCTTGAGAAGTTAACTGATGAGACACAGGTTCTTTTCCTGATATTTTCAGCGACAAGGTATAACATGTAATTCACTAATTGATCACAATATGAGTAATTCTGTATTGTGTAGGTGCTAGCAAGATTTGAAGATTTTCCAACAAAAAAATTGGAAGCACTGAGGATGGCAGCAGCATTGTACTCCAAATTAGATACTATAATCACAACCCTTAAGAACTGGCAGATTGAGTCTCCTGTTGGCCCAGTTATTGATAAAATTGAGAAATACTTTAGCAAGGTATTTCCTCAAAGTCATATGGCTTATTTTACTGCTGTTTTTCCCACAATAAATGCTACAGCACTCGCTTGCGATATTAATAAGACAATGCTAACTAAAAGCACCGTATTTAGATCAAACAAGAACTGGATGCTTTGGAAAGGACTAAAGATGAAGAGTCTAAGAAATTTCAGAGTCACAAAATCAATTTCGACTTTGGCATCCTTGTACGCATTAAGGAATTGATGGTGGATGTTTCTTCAAGCTGTATGGAGCAGGCACTGAAGGTAAGTTTATTAACAATTTGCTTCTAATCTGGGAAACTTTTATATATGACTACAAGTGCAAGGTTTGGTTTGAACACGCCTGAAACTATTATACGATATGATCCAGGAAAGAAGAGATGCAAAGGCAATGGAGAATGCACAAAAAGGACCTAAAACCGAATGTCCTAAAAAGAGATCTGGTAAAATGCTTTGGAAGGCCTTTCAGTTTGCATACCGGGTTTATACTTTTGCAGGTGGACATGATGACCGTGCTGATCAGCTGACAAGAGAACTGGCTTCTGAAATCCAGACTGATCCGAATCATTAGTCATACCATACAAAAAGAATTTTAGTGACATCAAACAAAAGAAAAAAAATAACTGACAAACATGCAATAAAATGCATAGCAGCATCCTAAGCCATAAATGCACTCAATCAGATTTAAGCTTTTCTTGGCAAGGGCCGTATAGCTGGTTCTTAAGTTGTGATATTCACATGCATTTTGTTGTCTTGATTTTTACAAGTAAGCTAGGAATATTATTACCATACAGATAGGATTATTTGATTAGACATTGCAGAACATTAAGCTGAACTCTAGCTTTCTTCTGCCACTACATATACACATATTCCCTAAGTGATTGGTGTTGTAGTCTCAGAATTTTTTTCTATACTTTTGAAATGTGAAACAGCATGGCTATCTGCGTGAGTAATTTCTCCATCTCAAAAAACAGTTTCAACTAGAATAAATTCTGCATCCTTCTACTCAGCTTTCTTCATGATTGCTAATACGAGTTCTCTTGAGCTCTCTTTTCCAAATATTGATCTTCTCAAGAAAACATGAGAGAAAGCCAAATGGGGACTGCCAATTCTCAACAAACGTGCAGCTAAATTCTATGCGTGAAATAGTTGAGACATAACATGAAAGTAATTCAAAGTACAAACCAGATGTTGACAAGTTATAAATTAGATTTCGTATTTCCATATAGAGGGATGTTTTCATGAATGATTATGCAGGTTTGCAAATTCGTAATTATCTTATTAAACCAAATACAGCTTATAACAACCAAAGAAACAAGAAAATGAACCCAAATGCATTTATACCAAAACAAAAACAAAAAAGTAAGCACAGAATGGTAAATGCGCCTTATTCTTTGCGACATAAAGCAAAACAGCTAGTGGGCTTTGCTTTTTTCGAATAAATGACTCTTAAAGCAGCTGACTCACTTTCAAGTGGCCTTAATTTCCAGATATCCACATAATGTGGAACCTGCAGGGACCAAGAAAATGAGGATTCTACAATTTTGAAGGCGTGAATTTGCTGAGCAACCTCTGGGGTAGCCATGACAGCAACCTAACGTACTCAGAACTGATGTAACATACATCTATTGAAAGAATTCCAGCATATCAGGTTCAAAGCATTTAGACAAACTCAAGCCCAATAAAAATCAAAAAATTAAAAAAAAAATGTTCGAGTAAATCATCATAAGATGATGATCTCGTGGTGAAAGTCTCTTCAAAATCTTGGAAGTCTCCTGCGTGCGAATTTGCACACAAGCAGAAAATACTCCAGTCTCTGCAGTTGATTCGAATGCACATGCAGGTGCACCTAAACGACGTAGTTCAACAAAGACTTTTCCTTTCCTTTTTTTTCCCAAACAATCTATGGTGGGTATGAAAAAGAAATTGTGATTACAAAATAGCTTTTTAAAATTAAAATACATGAATTCCGCATCTATTAAATTAATTATTTGTTATCTGTATTTGATTTCTGGGAAAGAAGAGGAATGACTTTCAGTTCTTGTTGTATACGACCAACTGGTTCCCGTTCATGAAATGGCGGCGTGCTTAAATAGCAAATCATTTATTCTTTTTAATTAACTTTTTATCTTGTATACATTAACTTTTGTAATATAATATTACTCTAAATGTTTCTAAATGATAAGTATTCATTTCAGTTTGGCTAACGAGAAAAGAAGGTAAAACTTTTATTTATCCCTTGCTCCCTTTTGCTTCTTTAGTCCCACCCTTTCATAGTTACAACAAAAAAAAAATTAATTTGAATCTTAATTAGAAGTGCTTCTTGTTTAAACAGAATTTAGTGAAATGATTTGAAGGCAAAAACTAGTATGCGGATCCTTCCTCTAAATATAAATCTACTAGAAATGGAGATTTTTAGATTGAAATTAGGCATAGAATATTTATTTAACAAGTCCGTTTTGATTTTTTTTTTTTGGAAAGTTCATTTTGATTTTTGATACTACAAAGTAAAATGGACTTTCCAAAAGTCTGACTTCCTTGAAAAGCTCATTTCAGTGGGAACTTAATCGTTCATTTTCAAGCTGAACTGTACTGTAAGTCTATAACACCTCGATTCAGCAAAGTTGAGTTATTTCAATTTAGTCGATATCGAAATCGAAACCGTTGGTCTTTGGTCCAAAAGAGGATCTCGTGTGCACTAGGTCAGGGATCCAAATCCCGCCTAATGTATTACTAACGTGAATACTCGTGCTACGCACAGTGTTGACGTTATTAAAAAAATGAAAATAAAAGGGTGAATTAAAAAAGATTAAAAAATTGTACCAACACAATTAAAATGTAATATCTGTCAAACAGTAGTTTGAAATATGATAGAATATGTATATCATTCAAAAATTGTATTTTTTCGAAAGATAGATTTCGAAAAAAAATAGAAATTTATATTAAAAAATGAATGATATATGAATAAAAAGGAATGTAATTAAATGTTGTTAAAATAAAATATTTACAAATATTATGCATTCGATTTGATAATCTTGCATGAATGTACGAACACTTTTCACATCAATCAATTTTTAGTAAGAAAATCAAAATTGGTGATTTAATTAATTCGGTTGAATTTTGTGGAATGCGTACTACAAATGAAAATGCATGATCTTTGCATGAATTGATTCGTTGAATGAACAACCTATTACCATTGCCCTGAGAATTAAGTACGTGCAAAATTCAAAATTAGCGAATCAACCTACCATCGTTGTTAACAAAAAAATGATAGTGGCAACAAATGGACAAAATAAGAACAAATCTTTTAAATATTCAGTATTTTGATGTGTTATTATTCTTTTGTATTCGTGATTTTTTAGAATTGTAAGATTAAATAATATTATTGATTCGGAAATGTTGTATTGTTCGATTTGCAAGTCTATTTTGTATTCAAGATATTTTAGAGTTGTAAAATTAAACAATACTATTGATTTGAAAAATATTATAATTTATGTTTTGCAAGTCTATTTTATATTAATACTTTTTTAGATTCGTAAGATTAAATGATATTATTGATTTGATAAATTTTTTATTTTTTGATTTGCAAGTCTATTTCGTATTAATGATTTTGTAGAGTTGTAAAATTAAATAAAATTATTCAATTTAAAACTATTGTTTTTTGGATTTGTTAATCTAAATATTTTTCTTTTTCTTTTTCTTGGAAGAAGGATATATTACCTTGTAAATCTGACCCTGTGTTATAGATTAACCGGTCACTAAGTAACCATTCGAATTGAGGATGGGTATGGTTAGCTAAATTAGAAATGAATTGATTATTTGATCCATGAGCACCCTTAATTTGTGTACTTAAGATCATATTTAAAAAAATATTAAATATAATTACATGAGAAAGGTATGAGAACATTACCAATTTGTTATGCTGTAACTATGTTAGCAGGCATAACATCGTGCGTACCAATTTATTCTGTTGTAACTATGTTAACAGGCACAACGTCTTGCATAACAGGAACAAAGTCTTCAGATGAGTCTACATAATTTTAATAATTCATAAACATTATATCATGAACAGTAAATATAGAAATAAGGTGTATAAGTTACATTCATAGAGTTGAAAATGCAATGGTAATGGTTAATTATGTGTTAAAAATAAGCGAGAAACCTAGATCTTACCATCGTTATGGCCATCACATGGCGACGTTGGTGTGAGGGGAGCTTCAATAATTGCTGAGTCATTATGTATTCCATCTAATATTATGTCATGTAAACAGTTGATTTAGCAAGATAATGCAGCAAAAAGTGTAATTACGAAATGAGTTTGATGATATAAGAAACTTTATATTTACCATGATCACGCTGGATCACTGGTGATATCGATGGCTGTTGAGTTTGAGGAGAGGTAGAATTTTCATTTCTTTGATCTAGAAATGCATTAAAATATATATTAAACTAACAATCAATAGTTTTTGTATTTGTTTTAAATGTAATGATGTGATACATTATATGAGAATTGTTAACCAAAGAAATACAATCGTTAAAGAAAAAATAGCATCAATGATCAAATATACAATTGTATTCTAATCAAAAGAAAATTAAGTACCAATAGAATTGTTGTTAACACCCACAGTTAATACAGTAATCCCTATATAAATATATTTTGGTAGATGTAGTAATTTGAAATACATGGCTAAAAGCACTAACATGCATGTGGCTAGTAGTTTGTTTTTGTATATTATTGTCGGGGTATATTTTTGAAAAAATTAAATTTGAAAGGTTAAAAAATAAATTATGAAGGTTAACTAATATATTTCTTTTATTCCGTGCGTTGGAAATGAATTAGGCTTGGTCTGGCGGTTGAGATTACTGAAGATGGAACCTTAGGTCCTTGGTTCGAACCTTGCTTCCAACAAGTTGTGGAGAATGGGGAATGATCTGTGGGGTCTACTCCCTATTGGACACCAAAAAAAAAAGTTATATTAATTACATGGAAAAAGGTTAAAAATTTTAAAAGTACTATTTTAGTATCTAATCTATATTGTATTTATGTACCTTATCTAAACCCTTAACATATATTAAAAAATTTGAACAAAACTCCAAAAAAAATATCTAAAGAAATACTAAAAGCACAGCAAGCATCAAATGTTACCCTTCCCTACCTTTCGTGCAATACAGATAGATGTAAAAATATATTTCATTAATTTTTTATCCGGATAAAAACTATTCATTAATGTTTATGCTTAGACTTCAAGGACATATTCTTAACTATCGTTGAAATTATATGTTACATAAGAATATAGGTTTGATAGTTTTGAAAACTAAATATTGCAGCCTTAGGTGTAGAAGATATAAACACCAAGCAACGATTTAATCTTTAATTAAAATGAAAAAGTTTTACTTGGTTGTAGTGTTTTAAAGGAGGGATTGGTGTCTTCATAATCTGAGCTGAAGCGTCTTCTCGCTTCCCGAAGTGATAGGTAATAGGAAAGAAGTATGTATGTACCCTCCTCGTAAAGTTGAACTATAACTATAAATAACATAATTAAATTTGGACGAAAATGCACTTAAAAATTCTGAATTTGTTACATATTCTTTTTCTTTTCTTCATATGCATTTTAAGATGCTAATATTTCCAATCATTGTGTTTGCAACCATGCGTCAACCATTTTAAGTTATAAAAGTCGTTTGTTGCGTCATCCATGCATTTTCCTTTTTTAATGTTTTTCTTACTGTCTCGTTAGTTTCTATAGTTTCCTTATTAGATGATCAAGAAACGTGGGGGAAATATGGGGAAAATGTAAGTATGATTATAGAATTTGTAATATAGACAATAACTTGATACTCAAATCACTGATGAGATAACGTTTACCTAAATAAGCTTTACAGTGCTCTAATTCCTTGCAAAAAAAAAAAAAAAGCTAAATAGTCCTAATTGGCATCGCCAGTTATGGCAACGTGCCAGTGGTATCTAGGCATATTTTTTTTTTTGGTCAAAATCTAGTCCTAATT